TTTGTAGGATTGAGCTTCTTTTCCCATTTCCGTATTTGCTTTTTGTCGTTTCCCCCCCCACCTCCTCACTGCTGGCAGGAATATGGCCGACAGGTTGCGTTTGCTTTCTCCAGGAAAATAACAGTTGGATGGTGTTCGGCGGTTGAAATCGTTGTGGCGTCACCACCACAACACCCACACAGAAACACACGGAGGTATGAGGGGAACCTGGCTCAGTACATCTAGCATGAGTTCTAGTTTGTGCAGAAACTGTCGACCTCATCATACAAATATTCACCTGCTTCTGCAGCGAGTCACTCGTGCTCAGTGTGTAAATTACTACAGTTTTTTTCTTTCTTTCTTACAACTCGTGCTGTTGGCCGTCGTTCACTCCCACATGCTCTGACCCTGTTGGTGCCTTTTGTGAAAATATTGCATATTCTGGACCATCCAGGCTGCGGAGGAGGAGGATGAAGAGGTGGAGGAGGATGAAGAGATGGAGGAGGAGGAGGAGGAAGAGCTGCAAATCATAGTAATCCACTCGGTACGACTGACTGAATGCTGAGATCATAACCGCCAAAAGAATCACGACTGATAACAAATCCTACATCAGTATTTTCACAGCACTTTGCTTCTCGTCACTTCCTCGACTGTGCTGTTGCGTTGCCAGGAGACAGGAAAAAAAAATCTGTTTTCTCTGGTAGGAAGGAGGGACGACGCCATCTGACCTTCCCACAATCCCGTGCGGCGATTATTCTCCGTGTGGGCAGGTATTTTATTCATCACAGATTGGAAAACCCCCAAAAGAGAAAGATAAGAATCACAGTTTTACCGACGGATCACCTCGATAGAGCGACACGCAGAAGATGCATCACCTCGGGAATAACACGACGCTGTGGAAAAAACATCCTCTTCTGCCTGAGTGAATGCAGACGTTTGGAGGTGTTTCTGATCATCTACACGAGGAAACATCAATGAGGAAGCTTTTGATTGAATTACACACATCTTAAATACTTAAAACTGCATATTTAAGGGCCTAAAAAATGTAATATTTAAAGTTAATCTCACCTCAAAGTCTGTTAGTAGCTGCTCTACGTCGGGTTCTGGTGTCGGAATTAGGAAGTAAACAACAGCAACTTAATCAAGTCTCATATACACGTTTAGTCAAAGGGAGCCACTTTAATTTAATCATTTATAAAGTAACCCTTACATAATGTCACAGAAGCACCACGAGCTGCTGGACACACAAGACAAAGTCAGTTTAGTGTTTGTAGAAGGATGTTTGTGTTATTTTTATATCTGGCTTGTTCACAGATCCATCGTCTGTTGTTGCTGCGTTTCTCTGTGTTGTTTTTGTTGGTGTTGCTCAATTAAGTTGCTGATCTAATAGAGTAAGAATTCACGTT